ACAACCAACAGCATTTTGCTAGAGACTGCACTCTACCTGCAGGTGTTGAGCATTGTGCTTGCTTCAGTCAGGTTGCAATGCTTTTTACTATCCTGCATTTCTAAATAATTTGGGTAAATGGCAAGCTAGAGTTGGTTGAATCATTAGAGTACCTCATGAAAATCAGAAAGAATGAATTCATGACATATGCATATTACATATTCTTCTAAAACCCATAAAATGCTCCATTTAATATAACAATTCACAGCTTGGAGATGCTATGATTCTGAATTTGAAGACTCTTTTTCTTCCTCCTTTTGGAATCAATTTCTAGTTAACTATCAGTTTGCATCTAGAGAATGCTGTCAGATCGTAGCACTCACTAAGCAAGTGTATTTCTATAACTAAATTGCTGATATTAAGTGACACAATCTTCCCAGTCCATACTGTAGAAACACATCTTGTATATTACAGGCTGAAAGAAACACAAACTCCTAGAAAATTATCTACTGAAGAGGGCCTGTCATCTTTCACTTTCTAAATGAAGAATGTTAAAAGGAATCACATTTGCTAAATAAAGACTACAAGTATTTTCTACACCAGGTATATATTCAAATAAAATCACAAGTTACCAATATTCCAGAGCCACCTGCTACTTTTATTTTAAAAAGTGCTGGAAACAAAATGCAGGTATCTTCGAAAACTATTTAAATATTAAGCACGATTGCTAACAGTATTGAGAATGGCCTTAAAATAGGTTGTTGTTTTTCCAGTTTTCTTGACATCCAATTACAACATGATGGTTAAAATGTTTTACCTGTTTCAAACAGAGGATGCTTTTAGAAATAATAGACAGCTCTTAAGTTTAAAAGCTGCACATAAATACTTAAGGAACTGAATTTCTTGCAATTTCAAATCATTTTTGTACATCACAAACATCAATCCTAAAAAATGCTTTGAAAGAGTCTGTTTAACATGACATCTGCAAGCACCATGACTGACTACAAATTTCCCCAGCCTGTGCTCTGAACCGTCTTGGTTCATAAGTGACTGCTTGTTTACCTGTGCATGGATATGACTTCCACTACACACCACACGTAGTTTAACTTCTTCACTTGCAGCTGACTAGGTAAAAATCACTATTTGCTACTTCCAGTTCCTGTATAATCAATCATCCACAAATATTCTGCAGTGGAAATGCAGAGGAGTCGCAGAGCATTTTTTGATATAAAGTGTTACTGGTAGGTTATCTGTCAATAACATTAGGCAGGAGGAGCCATAGTACAAGGTAACAGAATTTTCTTACAGGTATGTCAACATTTTGGGTGGACAGAGGAGGAGCAAGGGCTTAGAAATAAACTTTTAGTCCAAATTTCACTAAAAACTTATGATTGTGTTTCTGTGCTCTCCAGATGTTAAACAATGCTTTCTACTGTATGGCTATTATGATTTACATTAATTTATGACACACTATTAGAAATGTATTTCAAATAAAACTTTGATAAATATTTTGTCTAACTAGAGATTTTTCTCTCCAAAAGCTTTAAGTAAAAATGATGGACTTTTTAAAAAGCTGTAATTCAAAACTGTAGGAAATTTTCTTCATCACAACTATTATCATTTAAAAATATCTATTCATCAAAATGTCATGTTTACATATCACATTTCAGAATAAAAACAGCCATATTATTACATACTATTAACCATAAAGACTGTACTGCCTTGCTTATTTAAACTTTACTAAGGTGCTTCCTTACTAGAGACTAGGATTCCTGAGTAACCCCCTTTCCTGACTTTACACATTCAAAATGGTATGAGATAAAACATTGAGAAAGCTTCTGAAGTGATCAAATAAGAACTAACTAAGCACACTCTGGCTTTTTTAAAGCTTTCCTCTTGCTCATTTTAAGAAGGGAAACACCCAGAAGCCTGGTGTTAATGTCTCTGCTGATTGTGAAAATTGCAGCAATAAAAACTCCAACTGCTTGTTTTAAATTAAGACTTGCAAGACTACATGTGAGATCTGTATCTTTACATTAGTTTTTATAACATTTGGAAGTTTGGTTGCCTGCTTTGATGTTGGTCTATTAATGAGCAGGGGAGCCAAAAGCCAGAAAAAAAAAAAAAATGTTTACTGGAAATTCTCAAGTCAAAACCTGAAGTAATTGGTTTGTTCTACCCCACATGATTCCACATCCTGATTCCCCCACCTACCAGCTCCCTGAGCTATCTGAACGTCTCTGCTTTTTTACTGTTGCCAACACATAGTAACCCAGAGTGATTGAAAATGGCAGCTGAAGTGCTGCTGGAGCACATTAATTTTTCTCTAAGTGGTCCAATTTTGTCATCTGAATGTTGAAAATCTTCTTTTTACTACTTTTTTACCTTTAGAGATTTGTCGAATTTGGGGTTGCCCTCATATAAACCAAAGTGCAACATTTCCAAGACAATTTTTAGATTATCCCTAATAGCTGAAAGGATAATGCGCTTTCTTTATAGCCCTCTGCATTCAAAGCAGACTAGTTAACAGCAACTTAAGTGTGATAATGGCAATCACATCAATATGTTCCTTTTACACCACCAAAAGGTACTACTTCAGACAGATGAAGACATTAGGTAAATAAACTGCTGGAAATTACCTGAAAGTAATTATCTAATTTTAGGGCCACTAAATACATCTATTTACAAAATGCCCAAATAGCCGTGTCCATCTAAGAATAACAGAAATCTATATAAATTACTTGATCAACTGGAGTGTTTTTCACCAAGACATACCATATATACTCAGTTCCTGCATTACATGAAAGGAAATTGAAGCCTGAAATTGAATATCCTACTCTAAAGGCACATCACTTTCATAGCAGTAAAAGAAACACCCCCGAAATGGTGAATCAGAAGAAAAAAAAAGTATTAAACAAACAAACCCACCCAAACAACAGTCCAAATGCTACACATATCAGTGACTTAAACCAACTTTTTAAAAACACAAAATACCTGTTTTAGTATCTGCATCACTCAAGTAAAAGGTTTGGAAAGAAGCAATAGACAAGGAAAATTTAGGAAGTTCTTTTTTGCCAGAGATATAAACCAGAATACAGTTCCCAAGAAACATCTGGTCCCTGGAAAGTGTCCCGACTTATTGATGGATAACTGAATTTTGCTTGGCTTTTGAGTTGCTGGATTATGAATATTGATTTGCAAAGGTACTAAAAGGGTAGGCCAGGCCACATCTCCTTTCAAACTCAAGAAAATAGCAACAAAAGAAGAAAAAACTATGAATATGTAGTCTCGTAAAACAACTTGCAATGCGATAAATGTTCCACACAGCCACCAAAACAGCACTACTGCCATAGCTAGTTGAGAATTATTTATTATAGGGTAATACTAACCACAAATTATGTTATCTTTGTAAACACAATATCACTGATGAAATGAGATTACAAGAATTACTCATTTTCACTTTTTCTAGAATGAGAAGGAAATGGAAGCATATGGCCAGTGGTGATCAAAACTTCTTTTAAAACTCTCCATAAAAATATCTATTATTCCAGCCTATCCACCCATTAAGGAAGGAAGCATATTTGTTTCAAAGGCCTGGAACCAAGAGGTCTTTTATTCCAAGATTTCATTTGTTTTCTGAAGTAATTAGAAGGTCTTCCCCATTCATCCCTCCACGCAGTAAGGCAGTAACGTGTAGGCCATACCCAGAGCAAGAGCGCGGGAGAAAGCGCTTTCTAAATCCCCCTCCCAGAAAGGAGGAATCAGAAACCACGCCACAGTGCCTGCTGTCATAAAAGGTCACTTTTTTTGCTCGGAACAAACCATTAATCAATAGAGTGTAATTGTCCGAGCGCTTGCAAGGGCTCTGCAGCGGAGGGACCTTGTTTTTCACTCGCATAATTGCAAAACAGCAAAAGTTCAGAAACATAACCCAAAACCACCTCCCCATTTTACCCCTTTACAATTCCCACTGCCCTTTGGGCCTCTTCTTGGAAGCAAATGGAAGACAAGCTGAAGTTTTCTCAATTGAGCCGGAGCTAAGGAACCTTTGATATGCTAATGCCCTCCTTCAAACGGTAAGAATTCACACTTGCATTAATTCAAACAATTTCTGCAGAATGATGCGAAATGGCACCTCTTTTCGTGGCAAGCAACAAAAGGAGGGAGCCGGGGCGTCTGAGCAAGCCAAACAGCAGAACATTTGTTCCGCAGGATTCCTTCCGTCGCGCACAGGGGCATTTCTGGGCAAAGAAAACACACCTGAGCACCAGCAGAGCTCTTTACTTTCTGACAAACCGCGCTCAAATCCCACCAGGGCCGGCGCAGACTAACAACAAGATGTTATTTTTAGAGCCAGACACAGCAACGGTGCCTCATGACACACTGTTTTCTGTCTCCAGATGGCCCCAGATTTCTACATGTGAAAATAAAAAAAAAAAAAAAAAAAAAAAAAAAAAAAAAAAAAAGAAAAAGGAAAAAAAAAAAAAAAAGTTGTTCTCACCCCACAGCTGACAAAGGGTAATTTATTCCTTTTCCCACAGCCACCCCCCACCCCGCACGGGCTGGGAGCCGGGCGCTCGGCAGAGTTACACAAATAAGCCCGCAACAGGTAATTATTTAGCGAACGGATGCAACTTTGCGCGGGGCGCGCCGCGGAGCCCCGGGCCTGCTCGGCGGGCGGACCCGGCCCGCAGCCCCCGCGGCGGGGCGGCCGGCGGCGGCGGGCGGGGCGGCCGCGGCTGCCGCAGGTCCCTCCGCAGGGCGCGGGGGGGCGGCGGCGGAGCGCGGCCGTTCCGCGCGGGCGGAGCGCGGCCGTGCGGAGCGGCGGCGCTGCCCGCGCCCGGAGCCGCGGGCTCACCGAGGGGCGCGTCGCTCCTCCGGCGGCCGCGCGGCAGCGGCGGGCGAGGCAGACCCGAAAGTAAGTGCATCCCCGCCGGCGGCTCGGCAGGGGAACATCAGGAGTCAGGGAGCAGGCGCCGGCAGGAAAGCGCGGCGAGGCTGCGGCGCGGGGCTCCGCTTACCTACGTCTGGGAGCCGAAGGCGGGCCGGGGTCTGTGTCCCCGGCGGGACCCGCGGTCCGGGTCAGCCCGCCGAGCGCGGGCTGCGGGAGATCGCGGCGGAGTTAGTCCCGGGGCCCCGGCGGCGCGGGAGCGGGCGGGCGGGCGGTGGGCTGGGGCGGGAGCGGGCGGCAGCCGGCGCTGCGGCTCGGAGGGCTGGGGCAGCGCAGAGCAGGGGCGGCTTCTTCTCCACGCAGCCGGCCGGGAGGGTCTTCTGGGTCTAAGTCAACATTTTCCTGCAGTTCCCCACACTCCGCTCCGCAGCAAACGCGCGATGCAGCCAGGCTCCCGCACGCACGCACACAAGAAATAAATTCAGAAAAAAAAAAAAAAAAAAAAAAAAAAAAAAAAAAAAACCCAAAAAAAAAAAAAAAAAAATTAAAAAAACCGAAATGGAGAGGAGGACGGGCGCAGTGCAGTGTGTGTGCCCAGCCTCGGGAGTCCCTTCTGTGAAGCGATCAGGAGACGATGCCAGCAGCTGGGGCAGCGGGGAACAACTCGAATGTTACACTGGACCCCCTCCTCCGTGTCTCTGTCGCTGCAGGATTCACATCTCCCGGGATGACATTCTGGCCTCTGGCGGAGTGCGGGGCCGGCCTTTCCTCAGATTTTCTCCTCTTCCTCCCTGTGCTGCTGCCCCGCCAACGACTGGAGATCGGGCGCTGAGCAAGTAACGCGCGCGGTAATGGGAAAAATGCAATACATACACACACACACAAAAAAAAAAATCCCAATGAATGTATGGCAGCCTCTCCGTGCTCGTGCACCGCTCCGTCTGCGGCTGGGGAGCGCCAAGTCCTGACACGGACTCTCCGCCGGCTCTGAACTGGAGTCACCTCCAGCCTCCTCCCCCTCCAATCTCCACCCCTTCTCCCTGCGCTCCCACCCCTGGGCCCAGCTAATCATATAAACATATTATCACGTAGAGCGGCATCGGCGAAGGACAAAATTCTCCCCCTTCCTGTCTTTTTCCAGTCCCCCCCCGCCCTTCATTCATTTGAACGGGGGGGGATGGGGGGCTGAAGGCTAAATAGCGGCCGCTCGGCATCAGAGGCCGCGCAGACCGGCTGCGCGCTGGCGCTGCCCGCGCCACCTCCGCGGATGCCGAGGGGCGCGCACCGCCGCGGAGCCGCCCGCCGCCGCGGAGCCGCTGGGCGCCCCTGCCCGGCGCCTCGGGCCCCGGCGCTGGCCGGGCCCGGGGCCTCGGGCCTGCCGCCACCCCCTCCTCTGCCTCCCCGGCGGCTGCAGGCGCGCAGGCCGGCCGGCCGGAGGCGTCCCCGCCGCACCTTCGTGCCCGTACCCGGCCGCGCAGCGATGCCGCGCACCCCGCCCGCTGCGGGGGCCCGAGCGGAGCTGCCCGGCCGGCCGGGCTCGCCGCGCCGGGCCGGCTCTCCGCACCGCAGCGCCCGTCCCCCGCCTCCCCTTCCCCGGCATCACCCAAAAAATCGTTCACCGGCTGGGCGAGCAGCGAGAGAGGGCAGGCAGAGCGGGAAGACGTGGGGGTCCCGGCACCCCAGCGCCTTCACGGCTCCGCTGGTCCTTTCCTTCTTTCCTTCGCACTGACATGGCCCGGCTTCTGCCCGGCAGGGACGGCGCGCCAAGGCGCAGCAATGCGTTAGGGAAAACATGTCAGGGCAGGGTAAACAGCACTTGGAAACGATTTAAAGGATACTCAGTTGACTCATTGCTGTGCTCGGATACAAAACCCAGTCTAGTAGCGTTGTTGCGTTGTCCCAAAAATCTGCTCTTAGAAACCAGGTCTGGTATTGTAGGGTTTGTGTTTCTCGTCCGTATGGATGCAAAACACTGAGAATCCGCTCTGACCTTTCAGGATGTGCAACACGGGCGATTCCCAGCTCTCAAGGTCAGGGAGAGGCAGCTGGGCATTAGCGAGGGCCGGTGCCAGCGGGGGGCGAGGGCCGTGCGTGCGTCCCACGCTCCGCGCCCGCCCGGGGCTGCGGTGACCGGAGGGAGAGACAGCCGCGCTCAAAGCCGCTCAGCCTTGACCTGATAACTGCCCCCTCCCTTTGTTTGGGGATTTTAGCCATCCCCTCCCTCGCTGCAGCACTGAAATGAAATCCTCTCAACTGCCTCTACTCACGAAATCGCATGTGCTAGGCCGGACCACTTGGGGCTTGATCAACTGTTTTAGGTCCAAGGCACATTGACAATCCAGAGTACAACACCTACGCCACACTGGAGAATCAGCATCATTACCTTTGTTAATGGTAATGATTTTTTATTTAATCATTTTGATGTCTCTGCATACCTGTGCAATTAGTGTTTAGAAATTGTAGCATGTATTAAGAAAAACATGGCATGATAAAAGGAGACTGGATCTTAAAGGCCTTGCAATATGGAGTAGTGAGAACCATAGAGCTGGTCCAGGGCTCTTCAAAACCACATTAAACTTTCAAGAATGCTTGCAACAGTCTCAGGGGTGAGTATCTAGAAGTCACTGAAATATGGACATGCCATAGCCATGCTGACCTTCCTCAGTTCAGGGTGTCTGCCCAGGGGACTGGGGAGTGGAAGAACAATCTCAAGCTTTTGGGACCAAATCAGGAGTTCTGCCATAGTGAGCAGTGCAACTTCTTAAGGCTGATTTCAGCTGGGTTAAATCTGCAAAATGCCTCAGAATGGATGGACATCTGTCTCTGTAACAGTTTTGTACCTACTATATGTAGTTAAAAGTATGGGTTTCTGTGAGAGCAACATAGAGAAAAAGGGCTATATAGGCAAAACTCTATTAAGTTCTTGGTGTATTGCTAATATAGCCAATTGCTCTTCCTTACAAACACCTGTATAAACCCTAAGTAACCACCCCTTATGCATTTTTAGTGGAATCAAATTATAGAGGCATTTTAATATAGTCTTAGAAGCTGATTTTCACTGAAAGGACTAGATGCATCTATCAAAGAAATATGTTTAAAAAGAGAGTCATAGAAATGGAGATATATATATTGACTTGCTATGATTTTACCAACGTTTTATCATTAACAAGTCCTTTTTCTTTTTCCCTCTCTCTTCCTCTTTCTCTCTCTTTCTCTCTTTTCTTTCTTTCATGTAATTGCAGATAAGCAGTGATACCCCTGAGCTAACAGACTTTTGCTTAGTTGATGAGAACAGGATTTAGCCACAAAACTGTCGATAATACAAGAATTATCTAGGGTTGATGGTTTTCCTTTGAGAGGACATGAGAGAGAGAAGTTCTTCTGTTTGCAACAAAAAAAACTCTGTTGGGTTCTCTAATTTTTTTTCTGCCTACAAAAAGATTGAAAAGAACTGCAGAACTAGGCTTTGTGCTAATATTTGCAGAAGTCAAAGTGAATTCACCTATGTGGATTCAAATGTAGGACTGAAGTTCATTTTCCCTCTTTTCATCAAAAACTTCTGGAATCATATTTCTTTCTACATGCAGAGATGGAGTTTTACATCTCTTTTACAATGGCAGGCTGTAAAACTGAGTTTTAAACAATTGCTAAAAATGCAGAGACCTTTCAGCATTTGTTTCAAAAACACATTTCCATTAATTCTCATTAAAACTGCATTAAGATATAAGAATACCTGGCAGAGGTGTATATTGTTTTGGCAGGTATAATACTATTATTCAAATGATTAATTCTATTTCACATGAATCAGTGTATGTTTCTTTAAAAGAAAAATTGTACACACGTGTACTCACAGCATATGTAATCTGATACTTTAGTTTTTATTCAGCCACAATTATTACCAGATTTGAATATTAATATGTAAGAAGGAATTATAACCAATCAAATTTTCACCAGTATGACTTCCTACTATTTGCTTTTTGACATATCCCTATAAAACATGAATCTTATTCCATACAGAGAAGTAGAGACAAGTAGATTTTCCTTAAAATCTTGCTTTGCTGCAACAGTCCAAAACATCTACTTTGAAAGCACGAGAAGAAATGTTACAGTCTTACAATATTTTATTTTATCCCCACTCTAACTAATGTTAAATTTGTAATATTTCAAGGTGTAATATTTTAAGGTGTATATTCTGTGTGTATTACTCTCCAGTTGCTTTCATTAATCTGCTGGATGATGTCCTCAAAAAATTAAAAGCAAATCCATAGCAATTTTTAAAATAATCACAATCGTGTATCAATTAGCATTTCCAGGCACCATGTATAGGACAGTAACAACTGGAAAAGAATGAACTGTCAGCTGTGTACTTGAAGGAGATGCATCTGAGAAAGATGATTTAACTTGTGGCAAAAATTGGCCAAATTATGATGTCTGTAATATGATCTTATAGACTGCTTTAGCTTTTTTTTTTTTGGTCATAGAATTTTTATATCTGGCTATTCTTAAAAAGGTTAATTTAAAATGTTTCAGTACCATGATAAATAATACTTTGTATTGCCCTAAGTGTCAGTTCCCTCATGAGTAATGGCTTACACAGATTTTATGCAGCCTATTTTTTTTATTACTGGAGTTTTATGACTGAACTTTAAATACTAGCGACTGACATTTCCTCTTATCTGTCTGTACTCCTGTGAATAACGTATCAATGAACCTGTAATTAGATGTAATGTTGGCAAAGACTGACAGAAGAGGAAGTAAATATAGGTATGCATTATTATCAACTAAAATTGGTGCACTGATATAAAGACACAACTTAATTACTATGATGTAAAGAATTCAATTTTTACCCCATGGAAAAGTAAAAAAACAATTACATTATTTTACCAGTTCAACATAAAACAAAAAAGAGAAAATTTTGCATGTTTTATTCAGGAAAATCCCTAATTAATTTTGAAGGCAAATTTATATAAATAAACTGTGAATGATACAACCCATAATAGGAAATATCCAATGTATTGCCTTAAAAGTTTGGAAATATATCTTGACAATTACCGGTCTTTTAAACTAAGTAATTGATTTTAGAGTCACTTGGGGAAAAAAAAAAAATGAAACCCATCAATAAAATAAGAGAATTCTGCAGCTGTTTCTAACAAATAAATGTAATATGAATTTGCATTTTGCATAGTTTACTTCAGTAATCAATTTTAATGACTCATAATCTATATCATTATTTAAGAAATGACAAAATCATTGACTTATTCATAACACTTGCT